CATGTTTACTCTTCATCGGATGTCAGGTAGAGAGCTTGCATTCAGAGATGTTGGACCTCAGAGCGTCGTTGAAGTTGAAACACCTTCTCCAGATCTTCATCTTCGTGATCCTGGCGCCGCGTGCCCTACTACCAGAGGCACCTTAATGATCTTAATAAGGTTTGGGGTATATTATACTATAATGATAAGAAGGAACCCTCAAAGTAGTGTAGGTAATTGTTTAAGCCTCTATACTAAGTCCTCGTAACACTGCACCGGGACCACAGAAATCGCCCCAAGCCTCCTAAGCCTCCGAAATACCAAGCTCAGTGGCATCGTGAAGACGAGTACAGCTGCGCTGCCGCCTGCATCATGGCTCGCAAACCCTACTTGGAGGTTCATGGGTAGTTATAAGGGGTTATAAGTAGGGTAATTGTAATTATAGCCCATATTAGGGGACTTATAACCCCATTTATAACTACCCATGAATCTCCAAGTAAACCCTAAACCTTGCCGCAGAGCAACTTAAGGGTTCAAGGTTCAGGGCATGTTCCGCGATTTCGTGTCCAGATAAGACGTAGCAGAAGTTACCAGCCCTATCGGCTCGCGGCACAGATCTGGGCCTAACTGTCGCTCCAGGTCCCAACCCGAAACCCTCAACGAGGCTTTAGGATTTGGGGGTTTCCTGAAAATAGGGGACCCTAACAGAATACCCTAAATAATAGGATCCCTATCATAAGGACCCCCAAAATAAGGTACCCCTTGTTTTCGGAAACTCCCATTTAGGGCCCATGACTCCCGGCGGTAATCGACGACTCCCGGCGGTAATCGACGACGGGCCGTAACAGTGGTCAACTGCTGAGGGTATCGGCATTCGGGCGTAGAGATCAAAAAGGTCAGAAAAGTAGGGGTCCTACTTTTCATGATGTAAATCCTGCATTACGTTACAGACCCTTAAACTCTGGGAATTAAAGTACCTTCCTTCTTATGGAGAATGCAGGATCTATATCATCGACCGTCATTCAAGGCTTGGAGTCTTTCGGGCCTTACTATGGTTTAGGGTTTAGGGTGAAGGTCTTTCTGAAGGTCCCCGTTTGGCTGAAAATCTCCACGTATCTGAGCCTAAAGTGAATCGTAAACGCGTAAACCCGAAGCTCATGCAAAGATCTAACACCTAAATCCTGAATCCTAAAACCGAATTAAAGGTTTAGGGTTTAGGGTTTAGGGTGTAGGAGCTCTAAGACTCTAAGCCCTAAGCTTCAGCCCAGAACTCCCTTTCCAATGGTCCAAGCTCCCCAAGCCCCAAGCCTATGGTCTTCGTGACGCCGCCACGGCTCCACCAAACTGGATTCACCACGCCCTTGTCCTGCAGGCTGAGCGACGATCGGAAGTTCAGGTGAAGCAACCATGAGAGCAAAAGCCTACTGCAGGGGCCTAAAAATACCCCTACAATATTTTGGGGGCTCCTCATTACAATTGTACTATAACGGGCCCCAAAACCCCATTCTAACTATTCAGTCGCCTATAATAAACACATTGTGTGTGCATGTGTGGAAGTTTGCACTCGCTGAAGCCACAACTTTGGGAGACATGGGCTTGTCTTCAGTTGAAGCTGTGGGCCATGATCGAAGCGGCACAGAATTGAGAAACTGCAACTCCCTAGCAGGTTTTGGGAGTGGTTGTCAGTATTTAATGTGTGTATATATACTTCTATATATATATATATATGGGTGGGTGGACTACACATTTCTGCATGTCTGTGTATGCGAAGGAAAGTCGACTCGAGTTGCATGTATCAAGCAAGGCCACTCTACTTCTTAAGTCTGCCTATCATCCGTTGCATGTCCTGCGGCTGCGACGCTTCTTTCCATACCGGCCGCCAAAAATCAATCCCGACTTGAAGAAACCCTCATTAATACACACATATGTACAGCGAGCAAGGCATGGCATGCATATATATATATATATAGATACATACATACATATATATATATATATCGATGAGTTTCGGCCGTGCTATCTCCTGGCGTTCGAGCAACTAAGCACCACAAGATCATCTGTTTTGCCGAATGTAAGACTCTGCATAGGCCTAGGCCCGACCCACCCAATCCCCAATTCCCACTTCCCAAAACCCCAAACCCTCAAGAACAGGATAAATAGAAATTGTGTGAAGTTCGCTTCGAACTGCAGCTTCATTATTTGGAATTTTCTTTCAACGTGTGCGAAGAGACCAATTCCAGCAGCACAGCCCAAGCCCAGCCCAGCCCTGCCGCCGGCAGCCCAACAGCGCCCAGCCCAGCGCACAGCCCAGCCCCCAGCCCAGCCCAGCCCAGCTCACGCCGAAAAACGCAAAAGCAAAAAGCAAAACCCGGCAATACCACCCAAATCTCCGGACCCAAACGCTATACAAGTTCTATACACCCCAAACCTAAACCCCAAACCCCAAAGTCCCTAAGGCCCCTAAATCCCCCTCCCACAGACCCCACGCTGCCCGGTGCCCAGCCTTCATGCCACTGAGATACTTACCCACAACAGCGCCCATAGGATCCGCGAAGAACCTGGGCACAAAGGGAGAGAGAGCCGTCTGGGTGTGCGGTCTCCTGAAATCACGATTTAGGGTTTAGGGGTTTAGGGTTTAGGGTTTGGATGCAGGGGCTCTTTATGCAATGTAGCGGCCTTAATAAGTCGAGCAGGGTTTTGGGCTCCTGTTTAGTATATAACAATAAGAATAGGGAACCTCAAAAATAGCATAAGTAATTATTATTCAGGCCCCTGTAGTAAGGGGGTTGTGAGGCTTTTTGAGGATTGCATAAGGTGCTGTCCGGGATGTTAAGGTTTCAGATATTTGCACATGCGACAGGAACCCGAAACCCTAAACCCAAACCCCTAAACCCTAAACCCTAAACCCTAAACCATAAACCCTGAACCGGAAGCCTTCATCGTCTGAGTCCTATGCCCTTCATGTTCTACCTCCGCCATCCTCAACTCCCAAATCCGATTTAGGGCTTAGGGCTTAGGGTTGAAAAGGGTCGTTTAGGGTTTAGGGTTTAGAGGGTTTGGGGGTTTAGGGTTTAGGGTTTAGGGTTTGGGTTTTAGGGTTCGGGGCTTAATTAGGGCCCTTACTAGTTTTCAGAGGAACAGGGTTTTTAGACGCATTTGAACTTAAACTATCGTAACAATAATCCCTGCAACCAAGGCACTAAGAGATGATATTGGGGGGGATGATGTTGGTTAGGGTTTAGGGTTTAGGGTTTAGGGTTTAGGGTTTAGGGTTTAGGGTTTAGGGTTTAGGGTTTAGGGTTTAGCTATGTTAGCCTCCCCTGACTTGGCTTCGTACCCGAAGAAGCTCCCTGTAAACCCTAAAGCCCACACCCTCGAAATCCTTCCGGGCAGCATGGGCCCCAGAACGTGGATCGGCAAGGACAGGGAAAACCACAACCTGGGAGGTTGTGGGGCTTAGGTTTAGGGTTTTGGGTGTTATTAGGGTCCCTAAACCCTAAACCCTTATTAGGGTTCTACTCGGCACAAGGTGAGGGCTCGGAGTCAAGACAGTACGTGTGAGCTGCTTCTTCCAGCATCACAGCACAAGTAAACGAGGCATGTCGCCACCGTTTACCACCTGGCTTCAGGGAGAAGGAGTTCAGGGTGGAGGGTTGAGGGATCAGGGCTTCGGGGTTTAGGTGTTTGAGCGTGTATTCATGGCTTTGGGGCTTCAGGTACTTGGTTTTTAGGATTTTAGGGCTTTGGGGGCTTGTCGTTTTGGGCGCCCGCACTCAGACAATGCCGGTTTCGCGTTGCTTCCTGGCTGCAGGTTTCGGCTTGGCCCGCGGGGCGGGGTGGGGGGGGTGGGGGGGTTGCCATCCGACTCCGTGTGGCCAGGGCCGGGCCAGGGGAAGATGCTAGGAAGCGGCTTTGCGATGGACATAGGGCCGAAGAAGCTCTACTTGGAACAAAGCCTCGAGTGAATGTCTTGACCATACAGACGCTGACAGTCTTTTGTAGGGGCCTTAAAAAATTAGAACGGGTTTTGGGGCCCATTATACTATAAATATAACAAGGAAGACCCAAAATAGCAGTGGTGGCACCTACATTATACATGGACATTGGGAGCTCTAGGCCAAGTGCCTGCAACAGGTTTTGTGGTGCCCTTTGCCGCTGGCTCCTGATTGCTAAACTAGGGTTTAGGGTTTAAGTTTAGGGTTACTTGCTTTAGCAGCATCCCTGTTCGAGGCCTTATAGTAATAGAGGGTCTACACTGAAGGGTAGCTGCGTCGTACACCCTGCATCCAGGTGCCAACCAGGAAGCAACATCACCAGCAGGTACACTGTCATGCCGATGTCCCGTGCCTACAAGAAAAGCCGGATTCGGTGAAGCAGGTTATAGCTAGTCTTCGAAGAGAATCGCCGCGTGGGGTTGGTTCCGCAATTGACATGAAAAAAGGATGCTTTGACGACTCTACAACTTTGCGGCCACCTGCTTCGCCACAACAAGCGAAGTTCTTCTTTTTGCCCAGATTACAACAAGGGCCTGTGGGGTGCGGATCCACATTACTTGGGGAAGTAAAGCAAGCATTGGAAACCGCCTCAGACGTGGAAGCCATGAAGGAGCACGCGGCGAAAGCACACGTGTGAAGCAAAACAAGTCGAACAGAGTGTGTTGCGCATGAGTGCCTTATGATGCAAAAGAATCGGCAGGAGTTTCTCATGCCTCGCAAAAAGAACCAGTTCCATGCTGGGCCCCCGCCACTTAGCGCCATGGCGGCACACAAAACAGGTCTTTTTTGCTTCCAGCCTGCCAAATGTTGTGTCTTAAACCCTTGAACCTGTCAGCCCCCTACTTGGCCTACACCACTTTTGAAGCTGGGCTCTAAGTGTCAGCCAGCAAGTCTACCCACGCGCTGAAGCTCAACACTGCTGGCTGAGATTCCACGAAAACCACAACTCCTGAATCACTGTAGGGCTGAAGCGCGGTACAGTGACGCTTCATACCTAATGCCTTCAAGCTATGGTTCGGACTCTGCCTTGCCGAAGCGGAAGGGCTTGAGCTTGGGGTGCACCTGCCAATTCAAGAGGCATAGTCCAGGATTCGGTACATCGGCAGTGAATCCTATTGTCGCTTCTCTGGTTGGTTGGGCCCGTCTACCAGCTCCTTGTTCACAAAACAGATCGGACGACGACGACAACTGTTGCTCCTCCTCGTACAACCACTGCTGCTGCTGCTGCGGCTACAACTAC